AGAGAGAGAGAGAGAGAGAGAGAGAGAGAGAGAGAGAGAGAGAGAGGAAGATAGATAAATTTACGCCTGGCTTTCATTCGAAACACCATGTCCGTACCTCATGTTTGTCTTTTCCTTCAACTTTCAGTTTCTTCTTTCTCCGCTTCTTCTTTTTCTTCGACTCGGCCTCGGACGAGCTGCGTGAATGCATATTCGTTATTTCGTGTTCGAAATTTAGAATTAAGCGAATTTTAGAATTAAGATAATTGTAACATATTTTCACTGTTCGTATATATAATTCCGTGCAGCTAATGCGGCGTAAACTTTGCAAAAAAAGTCAGTATTTTGCCGACCAAATTTTAAAGTATGACATCATCTCAACTTTTCACCAAGTAATCATAATTCGTATCTCAAGCCGCGACTTATTTAACCTTTCCTCTCAATTCAGTGTTGAGAATGAATCATACTAATATGTTATTGTTAGCAGATAATTACTTGCTGTCGTCGGAATCCTCACTGGAGTCACTGTCGGAGGATGTGGCCTCGGTCTTCCGGTGCTTCCGCTCCTTCTTCTTCTTCTTGGACTTTTCTTTCTTCTTACCGGGCTTGGGGGATTCCGACCTATGGAAATCGACTAGATCGTTACAGGTACCACATACTCGCGAGCCGTGGCCGCGATCGTTTCTTTTTGTCAAACGATATTTATTATTATGTCTTATAAGTCTTGCAGTGGGCTTGCGTCTTCCTGTCGACAAGTGCATACCTCGTGCTGACAATATAAAGAAAGCTGTAGTACACAACGTATATCCGTGTGTGAAAAAAACCAATGCTCCGTTCTATCGATATATCAACGTATATATATATGTATAGATGTACGTACAATATGCACAAGCTACCTGCTTTCGAAAAAACATAGCCTCGGAATAGAGCCTTCTGCGGATACAGGGCGACCTGAGGAAAGGATCCAAGAATTTGGAGACATATAGTATCCACAAAAAAAATGCCTTTTTTCCTCTCTCTTTCACGCTCGCACCATATGTCTCCAGATTCTTTGACACCTCCTTAAATCATCCTGTATGAAATATATATCTCTCGCGCGATTTTCTCTTTTCCCTTTGTAGTGAGACATTTCGAAACAGAATCCAGCTTTACGATACAAATGCGATACAATTATATATACACGGCACATTTATACAAAATGTTTCTGAAATAACGATCGAGAATTCCGGAAGTCGTTTCACTCGCGTTGAGAAAAAAGAGAGAGAGAGAGAGAGAGAGAGAGAGAGAGAGAGAGAGAGA